CTATTATGTCAATGGCCAGGCCTTCCAGCCTACCCCACTTTATAAGTGTCTCTGTGTTAGTGGTGCAATAGGATGTACACCTGTGTTCACCTCAAAGGCAGCAGCAAGTCAGTGCGTCATGGTCAAGGGCAGAAAAACGTCTGGACATTCCAACTGTGGCCCTGGACAACAGAAACAGCTACAATCAACAGGCTACAGATTAATGCCAGGTGTGCATGACTAGAATGGTAAACGATTTTCATACATGGTAAATTTTTAAACTACACATTTATTTAAAAAAAAAAGAACAAATGGGTCAATATTCTATTTACCGACATCTTGTAGGGACCTTCTTCTCAATAGAAAATGGAGGATTCTAGATTTGGCTCCGACAGCCTGGTTGGTTATTGACAAAATCTCAGTCATTGAAAGGGGGGAAAAACCAACCTCTTTCTCTATCTTGAATTCAGTCTATAAGAATATGGAGCAATTTCTGGCTTCTAAACTACTCAATATTATCAGGTTCAAATTATATTCGCTATTTCCTGGTTAAATCGTTTGTCCTCTGCTTCTAGGATGAGAAGGAGAATAAAATAAAACTAAGGGTAGCCCAAGGCTCAAGAACAAATCAGATTCAAGTATTGCAGATATATAGGAAGGAGCATGCAAGCAAGCGAGCCAGCCCAGGCTATAGCAAATTTATACACATGTGCTGGTGGTTAACCTCACAAAACCTGGAATTCAGTTTGGACAAGCTTCCAAGAAGTTCAAGTGCTTATGCAAGCTATCCTAAAAATGGAAACTCATCCTACATCAAAACAGTAAATTTGATACTTAGACCAGACGTGAAGGATAGCAATTCCTTTTTACAGAATTTATCCAAAGCTGGGAATAAAACTATACACAGTAGGAAAGGCACTCAGAAAAGCAACCGAGTCCAAATGAATGAACTGCACACTTTTAGAGAATGTTATTAATTTAACCGAGGAGAGACAACCTCGAATATTCGATACCAAATCATTTAAACCAATTAAAATGTAATAATAAACTGAAATTATAATTTTATATACCTGCACAGCAACAAGAAGTTGCTTCCTCCCAGCACCTTAATAAAATAGAAATCTTAAGGTGCCTTTTCAATCATTTTTACTGAGAATGAAGAGCAACACTTCAGTGCTTGCTATGACTTCAGAAATTTGGATAAACCGTGGAACACAACGAGAAAGCAATGCAAAGCAACTGCTTCCCTAGTTGGCTCTCGGTTCACAGGGCTGAGCACTCCAGCCCCATGTTTGCAGGGGATGGGAAGGATCACTGGTTGCTACACATGTTGAATGCAAATAGACTAGTCAAGTTTATTTACATGTCTAGTTTCACTTTCTGGTTTTCATGTATTACCATGATGTTACAATATTTGGGTTACAAACTCCTGGTAGACATTTAAATCTAACTAAAAATTTCCTTTGATTTAAAAAATGAACTTTGTGGGTCACATGCCTGTTCATCTTAGGTTTCAAACCATGATTTTATAGACCCAAGCCAACAATGAATCACTGCAGAGTGATGGACTCAAAAATTAAATTAAATTTATTGTTAACCCTCAGCATGACCATCTGAGGATCTGGATTAATAATCTATTTCTGGAGGAATTCTGTGCCAAAAATTAAAAATTCTGCACACAATATTTTAAAATTCTGCAAAATTCTTCACATTTTATTTGTCAAAATAACACAATATAATCATGCCCATTTCAATTATTTTGGTAATTTATTTCAAAATACCTGTGAGCTATTATGTCTGTAACAGTACAGACACAAAAATTCCCCTAGGAGTAGAGAGTTAAAGAAACCCCTATGACAACCCAGTTGTTTCTCTGCCCCCTACCCCCCTAGAGCCCAGCCAGGGGGCCAGACACTCACATCCCTCTCCTCTCAGAGCCCAGCGTCAGGTGCCCCCAGCCCAGACACTCACACCTCCTACCCTCCAAAGGCCAGCTGCAGGCCCCCCCATAGCCCAGATACTCTCAGTCCCTACCCTCCTAGAGCCTAGGGATCCAGAGGGAGAAACAGCCTGATGCTAGGTCCCAGGCTTGCACAGAGTTTCCTGCATGCCACCTCCTTCCTTCAGGGAATGTTGGGAATTGCAGCTGCTGAGAATCCTCCAGTTCCCTCCCCCTTACCCAGCCTTGTCTTCCATTTGCGAGCTGGGCTCTGCGAGGTCCAATGGTCCCTAGTGGAGGCCAACATCTCTGCAGCCCATTTCTGTGGGGGCAAAAAGGAAATTCTGCACACACATTAATTTCTGCAAAATTCTGCATTGCGCAGTGGCACAGATTTGAACCTGGAAGCAAGAGCTCTTAGAAGAAAAGTACCACTTAGCACTCCCTGAATAAACTGAAGGTCTGTACTATGTGGAGGCCTTATTTATTACATCTGAAGCACCAGAGATGTACATGGCACTTTACAATACTGATTAAGATTGAGGGATGACCCAAACAAGAACAGGGAGACAACGTGGAAAGTGAGGAAGAGGGAAGGGACAAAAACAAAATGGAGTAGGAATCCTTGGTAGAAAAAATGCTCTTTTTTCCTCTCAGAGAAAACCTGAAAATTTGTTTAAAAAATGATGTTCTCTCCTTAACATAATATAATAATCTATAGTTTAAATTCAATTTGTGCATAGTTTGCATGAAGTCATGCAGTGGCTTGTTAGCTCTAAGATAGTTTTAATTCTTTCCTTCCTTCTGTTAATGCTGGTAGCAAATGCTGAGCTTAATTTTATTGCTTTTACTGTTCTTTCAGTTTTCCTGCTTTCCTTAAGCATTTTCTGTTTAGCTAATTCCTAAATGAAGACAGTATCTATATCATACGTAGAAAATGTACTACATATGAGCAACTATGTAACCTCCCTTTATTTATTGCAGATCTGTGCCAGGCTTTTAATCTGCTTCCTGCACTGAGATCTTTAACCTGCTGTCTACCTTCCAGGTACCCTCATAATTCTGCCCTACCCTCTTAACTACATGTGCAGATTTCAAACCCTATGAGCCCTTCTTGAGTATTTCACCAAGATTTGCCACAGTGATTTTAAAATCTTATTTTATACCTTTACTTATTTGCACTCCTATTAGGTAGGGGATTCGATTTATTAGCATCAGATATTTAGAAATGACTGGAAAAAAATCATTCCTGACATTAAAAAAAAAAGTTACATATCAAAAGATTTATTTACATAGGTTCATATAACTTTTCACAGCTACACTTGGTCTACAGTTTAAAAAGTTTTTAAAATGTGTTCTTCACTACTCTGGATGTTTCATAACAGTTCTTCAGAAGGGATTTTGGGTTCCCATAACATTAATCTGGAGGGTCATAGAACATACAGTCAAGCTGAGATTTTCAAAGCCATCTCGGAGATTTGGATGTCAAATTCCAATTTTAATGGAAATTATGACTAATCTAATCGCCTTCTATGATGAGATTACTGGTTCTGTGGATGAAGGGAAAGCAGTGGATGTATTGTTTCTTGACTTTAGCAAAGCTTTTGACACGGTCTCCCACAGTATTCTTGTCAGCAAGTTAAGGAAGTATGGGCTGGATGAATGCACTACAAGGTGGGTAGAAAGCTGGCTAGATTGTCGGGCTCAACGGGTAGTGATCAATGGCTCCATGTCTAGTTGGCAGCCGGTATCAAGTGGTGTGCCCCAAGGGTCGGTCCTGGGGCCGGTTTTGTTCAATATCTTCATAAATGATCTGGAGGATGGTGTGGATTGCACTCTCAGCAAATTTGCGGATGATACTAAACTGGGAGGAGTGGTAGATACGCTGGAGGGGAGGGATAGGATACAGAAGGACCTAGACAAATTGGAGGATTGGGCCAAAAGAAATCTGATGAGGTTCAATAAGGATAAGTGCAGGGTCCTGCACTTAGGACGGAAGAACCCAATGCACAGCTACAGACTAGGGACCGAATGTCTAGGCAGCAGTTCTGCGGAAAAGGACCTAGGGGTGACAGTGGACGAGAGCTGGATATGAGTCAGCAGTGTGCCCTTGTTGCCAAGAAGGCCAATGGCATTTTGGGATGTATAAGTAGGGGCATAGCGAGCAGATCGAGGGACGTGATCGTTCCCCTCTATTCGACATTGGTGAGGCCTCATCTGGAGTACTGTGTCCAGTTTTGGGCCCCACACTTCAAGAAGGATGTGGATAAATTGGAGAGAGTCCAGCGAAGGGCAACAAAAATGATTAGGGGTCTGGAACATATGAGTTATGAGGAGAGGCTGAGGGAGCTGGGATTGTTTAGCCTGCAGAAGAGAAGAATGAGGGGGGATTTGATAGCTGTTTTCAACTACCTGAAAGGGGGTTCCAAAGAGGATGGCTCTAGACTGTTCTCAATGGTATCAGATGACAGAACGAGGAGTAATGGTCTCAAGTTACAGTGGGGGAGGTTTAGATTGGATATTAGGAAAAACTTTTTCACTAAGAGGGTAGTGAAACACTGGAATGCGTTACCTAGGGAGGTGGTAGAATCTCCTTCCTTAGAGGTTTTTAAGGTCAGGCTTGACAAAGCCCTGGCTGGGATGATTTAACTGGGAATTGGTCCTGCTTTGAGCAGGGGGTTGGACTAGATGACCTTCTGGGGTCCCTTCCAACCCTTATATTCTATGATTCTATGATGTCCAAATTTCTTAGGCAGCTTTGCACATCTCAGCCTCAGCCTTTTAGATCTACCTATGAGAGAAACCACATGAACAGAAATTAAATGCTAATCGCTTTCAATTAATGCTACTTTAGACACAGAACTTTTAAAAATAGCCTGTCTTGCTGTGTTGCAACATATAATATATTGCTCTGTCTCTCAGTTTACAGAAGTCTACCACTTGTTTTGAAGGAGAAGTGCTTAGTACAGGCAACTTCTTGGACACCTTGTTCCAGAACCTGTGGCATAGGTATATCCAACAGGGTGACCAATGAAAACAGTAAATGTGAAATGAGAAAAGAAGAGAGGTTGTGTTTCATTCAACCTTGTCAGACCAATATATTGAAGACTATAAAGGTAAACTGTGGTGCAAAATGGCTTTCCATTATCTCCGATATGTGAGCCTTCCTGAAATACAAGATTGATCTTGTCTTTATCATGTAGCAGTGAACTACAGAAGTATAATTTTAAAGAAAGCCACAAATCTGAGGATTATTATGGTAGCCCGCTGTTTTATTACTTTAAAAAAATAAATCTCAGTCTCTGACTGGTACAAAGAAAAGTAAGACAGCTTTAAAAAAAAAGTAGTGTTTCAAATGCTATCGCTATTGAAATGCATAAGAACCTTTGTTGTTTGTTCTGTTGGTTTTTTTCATGTGACGTTTCAAGCTTTGTTTTATTTTACATTTAAGATTCCAAAAGGAAAAACATGTCAGCCAACATTCCAGCCTCCCAAAGCAGAGAAGCTAGCCTTTTCTGGATGCTCAAGCACAAAAAGCTACAAACCTACTTTCTGCGGTGTGTGTCTGGACAAGAGATGTTGCATACCTAACAAATCCAAAATGATCATTGTACAGTTTGACTGCCCCAAAGAAGGCTCCTTTAAGTGGAAGATGATGTGGATCACATCTTGTGTTTGTCAGAGGATTTGTAGTGATCCAGGAGATATATTTTCTGGACTCAAGTTATTATAACTTACAACATGGACAGCAGTGTATCATCAGGATGGCAGCATGCTCATAGTTTGAAGAGTTAGCTAAAGAGAAGACCCTTCCACTGAAACCAAACTTGATGGCATTCTTTTGTTAAATACCCTGAGAACATGGTTTAAGAACAACATCTATGTATGTAAAACAAGACACTCAAAACACGTAAGAATTAAATTGTTTGAAACGTGAGTATACCTTTGAGGTACAAGTCTAGCTAACATAGGGACAGTCATGGAGGGAAAACTTTTGTAATTTAAAAAAATCTACAGGAATGCAGGGGTGAGTTTGCTCCATATAGACACAAAAAACTCCTAGAAATAGGTGTCCTCCCTCATCTTCAACAAACATGCAGGTTTAAATTAATTAAACATCCAAGTAACTTCGTAGAAAAAGGAATCTTAACTTTTTTTGCTATAACATCTGATCTATCATTCTTGATCCACAAGACAGATATTCTTACAGCTACACTGACACAGCATTAGAAAAAAAGGTTGATCTTTTGTGAGTTAGAAAAAAAACACTACATATTGTAGCATACAACTACAAATAAATTTTAAGCTCACTTTGGTTGTTCACCAATTCTTATATTTTACATTTCTCCAAATGCAGTGAATAAGAAACATTATATTTGCACCAGTACAAATGAAAACATATTTGTCAAGACGTAGGTTAATTCACTTCATCCCCAGTGAACCATTTTTCTAGGTTTTAATTTTAAATGTATACAATTTGCCATTTCTTTATTTTCCCCCACTCATGACATGCTAACAAACAAAAACAAACACTACGTATACAATGAAAAGTAAGCTACTGATCTTATACTGGTCCCACCTTCATTTCTGTTCTCTCTTCATGCTATTTTGTATCTATTTAACCTAGACTGCAAGATCCTTGGGGTAGGGACCATGGGTGAAGTCCTGGCCTCATTGAAGTCTATGGCAAAACTCCCCGTGACTTCAATGGGGATAGGATTTTACCCTATGTTTTTTGTCAGAAAGTGCCAAGCACATTTATAGTGTTCTATAGGTAAGTTGTTTCACCGGAGTGACTTTCAAAATGCTTTCAACCTAATAAGAATTGCCTCTACAAATATTTGTCTTGTGTATTTCTGGCCTCATACATTGAAAATTAGAACCAATACTATTGTGTCTGGTCATACTGCCACCGAAGCTCTCTTGAAAGAAACGTGTAATTAAAAAAAAATGTCATTTTATGGGTCCATTTGTAGTGGCTTAATGCAGTTTTAAGACAAGAGAGTCAGGTTGGCAGACAATTTCTGAATATCTGTATATTTTATTCTGCAAAAGCATAGGAGTTGTTATTAAGACAACTGTTTATAAATATAATCTGATCATAATATAAAAATCTCTTTAATTTAAAATATGCTTCTATTTTAATTAGGTTCTTTTAAGAATATAATCTTCATTCTCCAAACAATCCATATCATATGCACTTATGATCACAGCTATTGGATAAAGAGGCAACATACTACGCTAGCCTCTTATCCTCATCAGTACATAAACCAACATTAGTGCAACCTACAGTTCATGAAAGGTGAATCATTATTATACAATATATTAGTATTGTACTTGATGCATTCGTTTTGCCAAATTATTCTTGATATTGCCAGTTTTGATATCAACTTGGAAAATTTTAGTTCAATTACATCTAAATACAATGACGAAGCAACACTCTAAGTTGTGAATAGTGACACACATCTTAGACCGTCATTTTGGAAATAAATTTTCTAGGATATTCGGAACTTCAGAAACAAGACTCACTAGATGCCTCCTTTCATTGCAGAAAAGGGAATGTAGGATTTCCCTTCCCTCGTGTATCTTATACCAAAGGGGACTCTTTTCTCCAAAGCAGGGATCAATTTAATTTAGCTTAAGTTGGTCTAAGGAGTTCACCAACTCCATTTTGGCCTGTTATAATTCCTCCCCCTCTCCTCCTGGCAGACGTCATCACTATTTACTCCGCTAGCGTGCAATATATGCTGGTCCCTTTTCCACAGGCTGAGCACTTGATACAACACTCCCGGCCAGCCTGGAGAGTGACAGTACCAGGATCCCTGTGGAATAATTAGTCCTAGATGCTTCACAAACCATCCAGTTAGCTTAGGCGGTTTGCTGTTCTCCAAATAACAGCAATTCTTCCTCTGTTACATAGCTATCTTCAGTCTTGAGGGATCTGTTCTAGGTGCACCTTTAGTGGCATCTAGCTGGTTATACTCCTCTATTAGGTCTGACAAGGAAGATATGGCTTCAGAGAAGCAGCTTTGCTCCATCCCATCAACGTGCAAGTAATGGTGAAGGTGAGCCTATAAGAATATACACAGATTAACTATATCCTTCTCTGTGCACAAGGAGTCAGATTAACCTAGCTCAGTATACATTATTGTTTAGCCTGCCTTGAAAGGGGACAACAAGCACTATCATAAATAGATTGAAAGACTGTCTGGAGTCACTATATCCTTTGCCGAAATGCTACTTAGCAACTTCCTGCTGCAATACTCTGGGGCATGCCCACACTACAGTTACTACAACGACACCACTACAGTGCCATAGCTGTGCTGCTGTAGACTTTCCCCCCATCAATGGAAGGGGGTTTTTCTATTGATGTAGTTAATCCACCTGTCCGAGAGGTGGTAGCTAGGTTGATGGAAGAATTCTTCCGTTGACCTAGCTGCATCTGCACCGGGGGTTAGGTCAACCTAGCGACAGCGCTCAGGGCATGAATTTTTTCACAGCCCTGAGTGATGTAGCTAGGTTGATCTAATTCTCTTTGGGTGAGTAGGGAGGGGATCTTGAACAATACCGCCAGCCAGATCAGTCACATACCTCATCCGCCATCCTGTCTTACTCTAAATAAAGGTCATGAAGACTTGTTCCTTTGTGAAACGATTCCCCAATACATAGTTAAGAATCTTAGGCTATGTCTACGCTGCACTGCAGTGTGGACTATTGGGGGTGTGAATTGCAGAACATACCAGAGAGTTGCACACACAAAGAGTTGTGTGGATCTTGCTGGCATGAACTTAAGAAGTATCTAGTTCACGTTAACATAGTCCTAACAGAGAACACAAACTAGTTTGGCCAGCAGCATCCATATGGGGCAGTTAGTGCAAAACACTTTGGTACACTTTGCAATTCACGCCCCAATATTCCGCACTATGGCACAGTGTAGGCAAGCCCTTAGTGTCACTTCTGACCAAGCCCTGTATATTGAAAGCCACGTGCCAGTTGTGGTTCAAAAGTGTTTTTTCCAGTGTCGCAAGTTATCAAGGTAGTAATGGAATGAAGGCAATAAATGCTTTATTATTGTAATTCCTGATTAGTAGAGTTTACAGCAGAGCTTCTCAACTATTTGCTACTTGTAAAAATGCTGCTGCATTCTGAACTCCTTGGTTTGACTGACTGTTGGCTGCTTCTGAAGTGGCAGGTGGTTCACAACACTATTATTTTCAAAAGCCTTTAAGGGCCTAAATCCTGGCTACTTTAGAGACCGCATCTTGAACCTTGGGCAAAGCCCTCATCCCTCCTCCAGCCCATTTGTGACAGGCAAAAGGGCCACAGCACATAAAGAAACCTTAATAACCCTGGTTCTGCCTGGGAAAGGCAGCCTCCTGTGACTTCCCTTGAAAGTTTTGGTGTAGTCTGCGGGTGGGTGGAGCAGTGCTGTATGCTGCAGAAATTCTGGGCAGCGCAGCAGTCCATAGGATAATCTGGGGAAGCTGCTGTAATTTAGCCTCAGGGCTGCCTACATTACGCGGAGGGCCTCTCTGGCCCTTGGAGAAGCCCAGGATTGGGAGCATACAATGACGACTCCCCCAGGCTAGAAAGTCAGTGCTTATGTTTATCTACCACCAACCTTTAGAGGGCCCATCAAAGCAGGCAGGCAGACAATTGTGGCTTTGTTGTGGTGGGCTGCGGTGTCTGGAATTCACTGACATTAGTATTTAGCCTAGACTACACTTAAAATGTAGCTAACTACAACCTAGCAACCTCACTCAGGTATGTGAAAAATTCAAACCTGGAGCGCCATTGTTAAGCTGATTTAACTCCCCAGTGTAAATGCAACTACATCCATATAGCTGCTTGGGCACTGGGAGGTGGATCATTTACATTAACAGAAAACTTCCTTCAGTCCACATAGGAAGCATCAACAGCTCTAGCACCTATAGTGTAGGCATGCCCTAAAGTTAATCTTCCCACTTTTTAGGTTCCCTTTAAAAACTCTGAACTTCCAATAATGTTTTAGAACAGTGGTTCTCAACCAGGGGTACACGTATCCCTGGAGTGTGCAGAGGTCTTCCAGGGGGGTGCATCAACTCATCTAGATATTTGCTGGTTTTACAACAGGCTACATAAAAAGCACTAGTGAAGTCAGCAAAAAACTAAAATTTCATACAGACAATGACTTGTTTATACTGCTCTATATACTATACATTGAAATGTAAGTACAATATATTCCAACTGATTTATTTTATAATTATATGGGAAAAATGAGAAAGTAAACATTTTTTCAGTAAGTGTGCTGTGACACACTTGTATTTTTATGTCTGGCTTTGTAAGCAAGTAGTTTTTAAGTGAGGTGTAACTTGGGGGTACACAAGACAAGTCAGATTCCTGAAAGGGGCACAGTAGTCTGGAAAGGTTGAGAGCCACTGTTTTAGAATATCCTGTTAACCCAATATAGGTTTCTTTTCTTTTCAGTCTTTTCTTGGGTTATCTGCCCAACTTAGTTTTAGTTAACTTAAACACCACCTGCATTTTAGCTAAGGCTGTATGTTTGCCACAGCCATGACTTTCATGACAAAACTGAAGTCTCAGTCTGTGTTACATGACAGCTTCATCGGATTTTACAAGTTTGATACAGTGAGTTAGAGTACTGGTGTTAAAAACTTAAAGGTTTTTAAACAATTTTGTTGCTCAATAGCACAGGACTTATAATGACAAACATTAAAAAAACCCAACCTATGAGCTATAACTTAGTAAATGTTTCTATCTTTTACTTTGACAAAGCTGCAGCTTTTCCACTTCCTTTGCCATGACAAACAGCCAGGCTTAATTAAAGTGTTTTTAGATATATTTAGAAGTGCTACACCTTTGTAGCATGCTCTCAGCTATACCGGTGAGGTGCAATTCAGACAGATGTGTTATCAAGACACTCATTCTGCTGGTAGAGGAATACTAATAAAAAAAAAAAAAAAGGTAACGCATTGTTATCAGAAAAGGTAGGTTCCCAATACTGCTTTGCATTCGGAGTGCAAAGTCTATTGCATCTATATTAAAGCAATATCTTGTTACAGCTTGCACTGAAATTTGCTTTTCTCCTCCACTTCTCAAAAAAATAAAATGTTAGAAGAGACTACTGCTACTTTAAAGTACACTGGGATGTTATGCTGCTTTTCACCGTACCTTTTTCTTGTAGAGCTTCATGAATCTGTCTTTGAGCTCTGTAAAGGTTGGTTTCACACAAGTATTGTTTGCTAATGCCAACAGTGAGTGAGAATGGCCCACAGGAGGTACTGAACATAAGCCAGTTTTCCAGCCTTCTTGATTCCATGAGACAAAATGAAGGGAAGGCTTCAACCTGCAATACATACATTCATAGCTAAAATAAGCAAGCAAAGAGGTACAGTACATTGCACAGTGTTAACAGTTCTGTTTACTTTGCTAAAACAAGAAATCTCAAGGGTACCTGCATATAAAATTTCAGGAAGAAAAAAGCCATTATAATTAGCATTTGGCATAACTCTTAGATTTTATAACGTGGAATTAGCATCTTAATTAATGTAACCTTAAAAACCACAGGAGAATACTAATTTTAATAATAATCTGTGAGTTTATTTTATATTTCAGTATAAAATAGAAAGCTACCTTCAAGGGACTTGTATCATAAGGCACTTCACTCAGTTTGTTTTCCATAAAAAAGGGGAAGCCTACCTGCAGCCAAAACTAGTCAGACATAGTGTAATACAATAGACAGCATATTCTTAAGTTTGTTGACATATCATATAGGCTATTCGCTGGTGCTGGAAGAAAGGACAGTTACTTATCTCCCAGTAACAGTGGTTCTTCAAGACGTGTTGTCCACATGGATTACACTCTTGGTGCACATGCACAAGATTGGATTCCTTTGTCTTGGGGCTGTCCCTGTGCCTTAGATGTCCTTGCACCTCAGCACCCGAGGGCATAAAGGGCAGAGCAAGCCCAACCGTTCTTCAGTTGTTTTGTCAATAACGAATCTCAGAGGAGGACTCTGTAGTAGAAGGGAAGGAGGACGGCTCCTGAAGTCCATGTGGATAACACATCTCGAAGAACTACAGTTGCTGTAAAGTAAAAAGTAACCGCTCTTCCTTCAGTGATTGTCCGCATAGATTTCATTCTCGGTGATTGTTTCCTTGGAGATGGGTACTGGAGTCCTACTTGAAAATGACAGCCCTACTAAAATGGGCATCTGATTTGGAAGCCTCTACAATGAATAGTGACTTGTGAATGAGTTGACTGAGCTCCAGGAGGCTGCCTTACGTATTTTCAGTAAGGAACATTCATCAATCTGGTAGCAGAGGCTGACTGAACTCTAGCAGAATGAGTTCTAATATAGCTAGCTGGGTCTAACTTGGATAGCTTGTACCATGTTTTTATATAGCTGAAGACCCATTTTGATAAGCTGTGAGGATACTGCCTGACCTTTAACCCTCTCAGTAGGGTAGCAGAATTCAAGGTTTTTAAAAATAACTTTGACAGATATTCATATTTATTTTCAAGCATTTTTTATATTTAGTGATTTAAATTATCACAGTTGTACAAAATTATGGGTGTCAAGGTTCCTCCCCCACTCTGAACTCTAGGGTACAGATGTGGGGACCTGCATGAAAAACCTCCTAAGCTTATCTTTACCAGCTTAGGTCAAAACTTCCCCAAGGTACAAAATATTCCACCCTTTGTCCTTGGATTGACCGCTACCACCACCAAACTAGTACTGTTTACTGGGGAAGAGCTGTTTGGACACGTCTTTCCCCCCAAAATACTTCCCAAAACCTTGCACCCCACTTCCTGGACAAGGTTTGGTAAAAAGCCTCACCAATTTGCCTAGGTGACTACAGACCCAGACCCTTGGATCTTAAGAACAATGAACAATCCTCCCAACACTTGCACCCCCCCTTTTTGGGAAATGTTGGATAAAAAGCCTCACCAATTTGCCTAGGTGACCACAGACCCAAACCCTTGGATCTGAGAACAATGAAAAAGCATTCAGTTTTCTTACAAGAAGACTTAATAAAAATAGAAGTAAACAGAAATAAAGAAATCCCCCCTATAAAATCAGGATGGTAGATATCTTACAGGGTAATTAGATTCAAAACACAGAGAACCCCTCTAGGCAAAACCTTAAGTTACAAAAAAGATACACAGACAGAAATAGTTATTCTATTCAGCACAGTTCTTTTCTCAGCCATTTAAAGAAATCATAATCTAACACGTACCTAGCTAGATTACTTACTAAAAGTTCTAAGACTCCATTTCTGGTCTATCCCCGGCAAAGACAGAATATAGACAGACACACAGACCCTTTGTTTCTCTCCCTCCTCCCAGCTTTTGAAAGTATCTTGTCTCCTCATTGGTCATTTTGGTCAGGTGCCAGCGAGGTTACCTTTAGCTTCTTAACCCTTTACAGGTGAGAAGAGCTTTCCCCTGGCCAGGAGGGATTTCAAAGGGGTTTACCCTTCCCTTTATATTTATGACAATGGGTTTGAAGCATTTTTAAATTTTTATCGCACAATTGTTGTAAATTATGGAGGAGTTCAGATTTAATGACAGTAGCAGATGAGATTTAAAAAAAAGTTAAAGCTTTATAACTGCTAAAACCCAAATTGTCACTATCACATGTCAAAATATACAAAGTAAATATCCTTAAATCAAACTCTAAGAAGTTTTCAAGCATCATTTTTCTTACTTTGCCTACCTGTAAATTTTGATTATTACTAGGGCTGTCAATTAATCACAGTTAACTCACACAATTAACTCAAAAAAATTAATCACGATTAAAAAAATTAACTGATTCATCACAGTTTTTAATCACACTGTTAAACTGAAAATTATAAATATTTGTGCATGTTTTTCTACATTTTCAAATATATTTGAAAACGCCCCTTCATGCTTCCGCCACCATTCCAGAGGACATGATTCCATGCTGATGACGCTTGTTAAAAAATAATGTGTTAATTAAATTTGTGATTGAACTCCTTGGGGGAGAATTGTATGTCCCCTGCTCTGTTTTACACCTGCATTCTGCCATATATTTCATGTAATATCAGTCTCAGATGATGACCCAGCACATTTGTTTTAAGACTACTTTCACTGCAGATTTGACAAAACACAAAGAAGGTACCAGTGTGAAATTTCTACAGCACTCAACCCATGTTTTAAGAATCTGAAGTGCCTTCCAAAATCTGAGAGGGACAAGGTGTAGAGCATGCCATCAGAAGTCTTAAAAGAGTAACCCTACAACGCAGAAACTACAGAACCAGAACCACCAAAAAATAAAATCAACCTGTTGTTGGTGGCATCTGACTCTGATGATGAAAATGAACGTGTGTCAGTCCACACTGCTTTGGATTGTTATTGAGCAGAACCTGTCAACAGCATGGAAGCATGTCCTCTGGAATGTTGGCCAAAGCATGAAGGGGCATATGAATCTGGCACGTAAATACTGTGCAATGCCGGCTACAAAAGTGTCATGCCAATGCCTGTTCTCACTTTCAGGTGACACTGTAAATAAGAAGCGGGCAGCATTATCTCCTGTAAATGTAAACAAATTTATTTGTCTTAGCGATTGGCTGAACAAGAAGTAGGAATGAGTGAACTTGTAGGCTCTAAAATTTTACCCAGTTTTGTTTTGAGTTCGGTTATGTAACAACACAAATCTACATTTATAAGTTGCACTTCACGATAAAGAGATTGCACTACAGTACTTGTATGAGGGAACTGAAAAATACTATTTCTTTTGTTTATCTTTTTACAGTGCAAATATTTTAATGAAAAATAATGATATAAAGTGAGCACTGTACACTTCGTATACTGTGTTGTAACTGAAATAAATATATTTGAAATTGTAGAAAAACATCCAAAATATTTATAATAAATTTGTATTGGTAGTCGATTATTAATAGGACAATTAAAAGGGTGAATAATAACGATTAATATTTTAATATTGTGATTACTTTTTAAAATAGTTTGACAGCCCTAATAATTACCAATAGAAATATTTTTCATCTGGTTGTGCATGTACGGTGAAATCAATGTTTGCCTACATTTATCAATAAAAAAAATGAAACCTTCCAAGCCTATCATCAAAGATCACTAGGTGTGCTTCTGAATGATTTTGTCATGTTAAGGTAATATTACAATGCCTTTATTACATCAAGTGTATGAAGTTTAGCTTCCCCTGGAGTTGAGTGAGGCTTAGGGGGGAAAACTGGGAGATGAACTGAACCATTCTCTCACCAAACATCTTTATGACAGGTGTATGATAAGAATGGTGGAGGTTTTTGATAGTATGCAGATAACTATTTGGTAATCACTTGATCATAACCACAAATTGATTTGGCTTGGAAAGGGTCCAATGATGCTTAGAAAGGGTCACTACTTACAAAGCTTAACAAATGTCATTAGGAAGCACAGAATAGTATTTTTAAGCTCTTTCACTTATTTTCTGTTGGTCAGTAACATTTCTTCTCTCAAGTGCCTATAACTAAACTTTTCTCTTTTTGCTGAATTTATTGTTGAAACTTTTTGTATGAATAGGGATATCACTGTGAGCATCTGACAACAGCTTCTGTAATAAGTATTGTGCACAAACAAGCTATAACAATAGATCAAACCTTTCAATGTTTCTGCGAAGGTCTGAAACCTGTACATTTCCTCGAACCAGAAGTGCACAGGCAAGGTACAAGCTATGCTTTGGGTCTGCTTGAATCAACTGGTGATCTTTACTGAAAGCATCTGAAAACATTTGATCCAACCTAAATTAAGAAAAAAAGGCTGTTACCTACTTTTATTAAGCATGTTGAAGTTCTTCACTAATCCTATAGCTTGTAATTTAAGAGCAACTAAAATTCATCCACTTCCTTGTTATTTGAAAGTATAAATTAGACAGTCAAAAAGAATATTCAAACAATAGCACAAGCTGGATGAACTATTTCAACTTACATCTTCTTATGCCCACATATTATTTGCTTTTCTTGGCTCTCTTTCCTTTGAGCACTTTAGCATATAAGTTACACCAAGGTCAGAAATAGTGGATAAAGGGGAGTAAGGTACATGCCAGTAACTTGTGTTGAGTATACCAGTCGTGTCCAAGAGTTGTGATGAGTGTACAAGAGTTGATGCAACCCGAACCCACTGAACCACACTTCATCTTTATTTCTTAAGGAGTTGTTTGGCACTTTTGGGAAAATTTCCTTTTTTTTTTTCAAGTTCAAATTGGATTGGCTTATGTGATCTGTGGAAGGAGAGTCATGGTTGAACAGATCTTTTGGGGCCCAAAGTGGTAAAGCTCCACTACCGTAGGATCTGGAAAGTTCATAAAGGGGTGGAGTCTTGGGAAGAGAGGTACAATTATACCTGGGCATAATATCGAGAAGTAGATGGTGGAAAGAAAGTTTAAAGCTTTATACCTGGAAAGTTAAGTTTTTAATGTAGATAAAAGACTCCACTTTCACAAGTCGCCTTCATGCCTTCTTTCAGTCCCCGGTATACTCCTTTAAGCTGCCCTTCCATGTGCCCGAGGTATACAGTTTGTCCCCACTCTGCGTCCTCTACCACTTACCTCACCCAGAATCTCTCTATTAAAAGAGCTGAGAACATAATGCTACCCTGCATGTGTCCCCCATTCCCTACCAACATAGGTACATCTCCCAGTTCCCTGCATCTTACTCCATACCCCATCCTGGAATATCATCACTGCATTTCCCCTTAATCTTCCATCCTCCCATTTACCTGTACAGGGACCCTCACCAGCACTGCACCACCCTCTATCACTGCTCTACTGGTGAGATTAAATTCCTGGGTGGGAGGTAGAAACACCCCATCACCAAGCTCTTAATATAATACATCTTTGCAGTCCCCTCACTGATTTTCAAAGAGCCCACTAAAAAGGCACTTCTCTGAAAGGCTAACAAAACATATTTTGAGTTTGTAAGCCAAGCCATAGTGGAGATTGAGCTTAAAAAAAACACTATTAAGAACATTTTTTAAGGTGAATATCAGGGCAATTTTGGAAATACCACAATACTTTTAAATTTCTTTTATTTTTTCCCACAGGCTTCCAACGAAATTTTTATCCTGGGGTTAGATATAGAATATGCAGTTTTCTTTTTGTGGATGTTAGAAGAGTTTAAAATAGGGTTTAAACCAGACCTCAGCTATGGCGTAGCCTCCCACCATAACAGTCTGTTTCACCTACCTTCTAGAAGGTACATTAACATCAGCCAATGTATACAGAGGAGTCAAGCTGGAAACCAGGTAATGAAGTCGAGGAAAGGGAACCAAATTCATGCTGATTTCATTAAGATCCATATTAAGGGAACCTTCAAACCTGGCAGAGCTAAAAGTTTAATAGTACTATTATAAAACCAAAATCATTTATTTACAAAAAGTTATGTAGAAGCTTGATAGGTTACTGTTATATCCATAATTTTTTCCAGTTGTTCCCTATAACAGAGAACATCATGGAAATGAAATATATTGCTTGCAGTGTTGTTGAAGCCATGATGGTCCCATGATATGAGAGACACAAGGTGATTTATTTTATTGGACCAACTTCTGTTGGTGAAAGATCAGCTTTCGAGCACCACCGAGGCAATCTGTTCCATCTTGTACTTAGCTGTGACACTCTAATTACCTTTCCAAGACCTGAAGACGACCTCCATGGAGTTTGAAAGCTTGTCTCTTTCACCAACAGAAGCTGGTCTAATAAAAGATATTACCTCACCCCCTTCTCTCTTTCATGAAGTATAATGTCATTTTACAACTCCAGAATTGGTGATTCAATCACTATCACGAGAGTTACTGGTTTTTCATACATTTGTACCAATATCCTTCGTGTCTCTTAAAAAAAAGCACTGAACATTAACACTAAGCACCACTGTTTACTGGTTAAGGTACTGCTCTACAGCGAGGTGGTGTTTGGCTGAAGATAAGCCTGAGGTGTGATAACTCCCTTAGTAACTAGACATTTCAGGGTTACTACTGCAGATCATTTCCCATAATTGGGAATAGGGATTAGGCAGTAAGGGCTGCTATACTACTAAACATAATGGGGGGTTAACAGTTAGCTATGGTCATTAACTGAAATAAAGAGAATTGGCTAGCAGGAACATGTACAAAAAGTCTTAACCTCTCTGTTTAACACAGAGTCAGTATATGACTGTATAAAGCTACAGGCCATCTATATCTATACATGTGCAAGAATCTTTCCACCAATTCATTTCAACCAAAAGAACTGCATTATGCAAATAAACAGACGACGACAAGAATGGAGAGAAGAGAGGAGGAGTTATGCCTCCATCCCACTGAGTGTACTGCACTGATAACAGAGCAGCCACAAAAGGAGAAAAAAAGAGGGAAAAAAAGCAGAAAAAAATGGATGCCATAATCCTGATGTTACAATCCTAAACAAAATGTTCACAGGGTAGCAGCAGGTGGCAGGAGACGGAGGGCCAGAGACATGGAATGCTCAAAGGATGAAAGAGTCAAGAAACCTGGAAACACTAGACAAAAAGTTTTCATGGTTAAAGAAAAAAAAAGTGAGAAGTAATCATTAGACATCAGTTTTAGTAACCAAACCTATTTTAATAATGATTTTGCATAAATTCACACATCTTTTGCACCAATCAGTTACAAAAAGTAGAGGAGTACTCTTAAAGCATTAGTTCCAATTAACTTCAATGGGAGTTCTTATAGTGATTAGTTTTGTATATTAAAGAACCAGTGTTTTGGGGGCAGCAGGTATATTCAAGAGGTGGTGTATCACTACTTGAGTAATATTCGTTTAGACCCTGTCTTGTCTCATTAGGTTCCTATTTTTAATAAAGGTGAATGGCATTTCTGCTGCATAAATATTTTCTTATATTTGAATGTACTTCAATTTGTCTTTTGAAAAATCACTCATTAATAACTTCTCACTTTTTAAATTTATTTAACACCTACTTGACACACAATGTAAGGGTCGAAGACCTGAACATCTTAAAAAATTTCTACTTGCCTGTGGTGAGTAATCACTTCCTCCAATGGGTGAGTAAATCATTAAAAAAAAAAAAACCCTCCACACCACCACAAAAACAAACAAACACCACACACACCAGATCTTTAGGCCAAACCATGGATTTTTTTAAAAAAAAAAAGTTTCTTTTGAGAAGGGCAAGTTCTCATGATAGGTTTGCAAAGCCAGGCTAGCATGTTAGAAAAGTATCAGTCCTAAGAATTCAGATGACCTCTTTCTTCATCTGTACCACAGTTCAGGATTTCTCCTACTGAATGTCAGAGGGGTGTCACTGAAGTCAATGAGAGTTTTGCCATTGACTTCAATGGGACAGGATTTAATTCAATATCCCTTTTAGGGGTTCTACAGTAGTTTCCTCATGCTAAAATGTAAGCCACTTTGCCAAATTACCCCCTGAAGTGGGTTCTCTAGACTGCTGTTACAAGACTTGAACAGTGCTTATTAACTTAATTACAACAGCTGACTAATACCAAACTGAGAATGGATCAATATTTTCAGAAGTGCAGAACATCCATTGTGCATACTATCTCTCGCAGCATTACTTGCATAGTGGAATACTCAGTAAGATTACCTTGTCAGGTTCAGCAGCAAGTTGGCCACAATATTGTTCATAGCATCAAATGGCTTCTCCTGTTCAGTTTTGATACTGCCTGCACTTGAGGTTAACAAGCTGTTTTGTTTCACAGTTGATCCTAGCTTTCCAGAATTTGTCATCTGATGAATTTTACTAACTATAGAAAATAAAGACTTGGAGAGAAGACAAAATGAAATAATTATAATAAAAAAAAAAGCTTCCAGATACTTCTGTACATAGAGCTTTCACATTCAGTGTCCCTGTTCATTTCAGTTAAACTTAGAACCTAAGAACAAAAATTTAAGCACAGTAGCTAAAGTTAACAGTTTGTGCCTTTGAAGTCTGCTTCACTTCACAGTTTGGTCATTCGCAATTGACTAAATGTATTTTTGAACTGCTTTTCTTAAAACGTGTCAAGGGAATTGAAACTTAACTCAAACAAGTTTAACTTTTATTCAAATACAGAAAAACCTGTATTTTCTAAATAGGATATTTGTTCTCATGTTCATATAATTCAAAAGAGAGTACAAGAGTTTCTTCAAACAAAAAAATTCACTTTTGCATGGGGGACAATTTTGTTTATAAACCAATAGCCTTATATTGAGAATAAGGATCTTAAAAACAAGGGTTTTTGCAATCATTTACTGTTTACCTTAAAGCAGACATAGGAATAAAATTCCCTGCTACAGACCATTTCTGTAAGGAAGGGGAAAAGTACTGGGCAATTTTTAAATGATTCCCAAAATAAGGATACAATTTTCAAAAAACCCAAAATAACTTAGGACCCTAAGTAGGGTTGCCACATGTCTGGTTTCTGACTGCAAAGTCTAGTCGAAAAGGGAACCTGGCAGTGTCACTAAAAGTCCAGTTACCAGAGTAAATGTGATCAACCTCCCTGCCGAGAGGGAGGGAAGATCAGCAGATGTTCAGACGCTGACGGAGAGCATCAGTTACGGCTACAGGAGGCCTCTCACAGCCCGGGGAGGCACGTCTGACTGAGGAGGGAGCCGGCCCAGGGCTGGGGAGTGCCCACAGGTTCGCACTGGCGCTGCGAGCAAAGTGGGTGAGGGGAGGGCAAGCTTCAAGCACGAGCGAGAGGCCATAGGAAGGAAGGGGGCAGCCCAATACCTACAGGGCGTGGATGTTGGGAGAGGGGCCATTTGGAGAGCAGTGCTTGGATCTGCTCGCCCCCCTGCCGGTTGCAGAGGGGCCTGGGCTCGGCACGCTGCACCGCATGGGGCCACTTCCCCTGACGGGCCAGGCTCCCCATCCCCACTCCCTGCATGGTATGATCACTGCCCAGGTAGGACCCTGGCTACCCCCCGATGCTACTCCCTGGGAACTCGGGTGCTCGCTCGCTCTGGGCAGCAGAAGTTGGCAGACTTCAGTGCATTGCAGCCAGCCAGCTCCAGCCTTAGCCAGGGTAGCCTGGGAGCTGGGGCCCCGGGGCCTCAAGAGCCTCTCGCCGTGGGGTGCAGAGGAACCAGGAGCGGAGGCTCGTTAAACCCCTCGAGAGAAGTGGGGAGACCCCAGAACCAATATTTCTGTGCAAATTTTCTGAAGCCAGCCAGGCCGAGCGGGTCACCGCTGCTGGGGGTGGAGGGTGGGGGAAAGGGGGCTACAAACAACGGGGCAAGTTCCCCAGATGGAAGCGACCAGCCCCCTACCCCCAGTTCTATGGACCCAGACAGGCAAGGGACATCTGAGCGTGTTTGGAACCGTTCCTTGCCTCAGTGTTGGGGGCGGGGGGAGGAGGGGCAGCCTGGAGGAGCTGGTGTGGGGAGCTGGGAGTCAGGACTCCTGGGTTCTCTTCCTGGCTTTGGGAGGGGAGTGGGGGCTAGTAGGTTAGAGCAGGGGGCTGGAAGTCAGGAATCTTGGGTTCTATCCCCAGCTCCAAGCTGTGTGATGTGAGTGGCTTATGCAGAGAGTGGCCCCCCGCAGGTAAATGGTGGGGGGGGCAGAGTGTGGCGGTCCCCAGGTTGGGCGCAGGGTGGAGGAGGGGGAGGAGTGAATGGAGGGCGGAACCTTGGGGGAGAGGGTGGAGCAGAGGGTGGGGCCTCGGGGGAGGAGCAGGGTGTCCAGTTTTCAGAAATGGGAAAATTGGCAACCTTAACCTTAAGTCTCATTTTCAAAAGTGACGTAAGAGCCCAAGCCACTTTGGCTCTTTTTGAAAATAAGTTTCAGGATAACATTTTCCTGTTCATCAATACAGAGAAGGAAGAAACACTTCCTACGTAATGTATACCACAAGAGAAATTGACAAGAATATGAATACTCTCTTACTTCATTTTCAATTGGAAGCACACAGTCCGCATGCTCATTAAGTTCCTTCATAGCCAGAACACTGTTATATGGAGAAGTAATGACATCATCCTCCCCAGAAGGGTAAACTGAAGTAACAAATCTATATACTTCCGGGAACTCATCCTCAAGCACATTTAGTACAAAAGTACCAAGACCAGATCCTGTCCCTAAGAATAATTAAGAAGATAGTTACAATGAAAAGAGATAATGCTTAAAACATCCTGAATTATTTAAATCCCCTCTGAAACACAAGATTTCTTTGTACATTACAGACCAGATTTTCATAAGAGCTCAGCACTCGGTGATCACAGAAGGATTTAGTAGAGTTGGACAGGAAAAGGTTTTTCCATCCTGAACTGGGATAAGAATTTGAAATCTTGAACATTTTTGTGAACCAAAAATCTGAAAACAATTTTTATTTGGGTCAGCTGAAGAAATGTTGAAACAATTTCTAAATTAAAAAAAAATATTTTGAAATGGGAAATTTGTCAATTTAACAGGGATCCTGGGTGATTTTCCATCACTGACAATTTTAAAATCAAGACTGGACGTTTTTCTAAAGTCTGCTGTAGGAATTATTTTGGGGAAGTTCTATGGCCTCTGCTATATAGGAAGTCAGACTTTATGATCTAAATCCCTTCTGACCTTGGAATCTATGAAAAATGACTCTTTTCCGTAAAAAGTTTGTTTGGATGAATTTGTGTTTTCTGACTGAAAAACTTTTAGTTGAAAAATTCCAGACCAGCTCTCGTACTAAGCTTTTATGAAATACCCTTAAGTGTTACATCTAGTCTACTGTGGAACATTTCTTGTGATGGGACCATGACTCCTCTTAGCAAGTTGTTCTAGTGTCTAGCTAACTTTATTGTTAAAAACATAAGCATGGATATTTATAAAAGATGTGGTTTTGGAATCTTTTTAGAAAACTTAAATATTGTATCCCATCAGTGTGTATTTCTACTTAAGCCTAAAATACAGATTCAAGTAGAACAATAATGCAGGTTAAAGAGCATCTTCAGCTTGTGTGTGTAGATATATCATCCTGGGAAAAGGCAGGGTATCTACATAATGAGTTTTGTATAGTACAGTTTGTATGTTAGAGTGTAATTATACTCAGAGATGACTGCAAGTGGTACTTTTTGGTGTTCAAATTTATTTTTCCTTCAGTGACTTCCTTATTAAGTTTGCTTGGTTTTCAAGTCAGAACATGATTTCCCCCCCTTTCTTTACTATCAACATTAAGTTCAAATCAGAGACCTGAAAATTAAGCTGTGGATCTTCTGCCTTGGACAGCTAATGTTCTGGAATCCTAGCAGCTGGCAATTTCAATTATGAGGCTGGAGGATGAGGAGAATATAACTGCTTTTCTGCAATGCTGAGAGTAGTAATAAGCAGGTTCTCTCAAACTAAGCATATTACATTGAAGACACAGCACAAAGATACATGGAAACGGGGCTACTTTCATATTCAGTTTTCAGATCCTAGTCATTTAAACTATCTTCTCTTAATGTAACAGCACTGAAGTTGTTCAAGTTTGGTTCCAATATGCTAACACCAAAGTTGTCATTGCACAAGGTTCCCCTTGGATACATTTACAAAAATGGTACTAGGAGAACACTTCATTTATGTTGATAATAGGTAAAAAAGTTAGAAGAAAACCCTGTGGGAGCAGGATGGTCTGACAATCATGGTCCAAACACCCCAAAGGAGAACAGAAAATCACAGATGGAAACAAAAAAAAATACCACAGATAGAAACACAAAAAAATTAAGCTACCTCTTTATCCTCCTTAAAACTCTGCTTTTCTGTGATGCCTACAAAAAAAACAACCCTTGAAAATCATTAGGCACTTACATACTTAGACCTATTGCCTATCACGCTGACCTCTATGGTCTCCTTGTGCACCCCCATCTGTCTCTATCCATCTGTTGTCTCTAGTCTTATACTTGGATTGTACGCTGTTTGAGGCAGGGATTGTCTTTTTGTTCTGTGTATACAGTGTAACAAAAAGGAGTCCTAGTCATGAAACAGGAACCCAAGGTGCTACGGTAATATTACTATAACTACTAACTTGACTTAAAGGGTATTTGTTGATTAAAAAAATTCCTTACCATGTTACCAGTGTCTTATATTAAAGTAAAAAATTTTCAAAATCTAGTTCCTTTTTCACTTGTGGCATTTGCAGACATGTTAACCATGAAAAAAAGCTTACCACCTCCCATTGAATGAATTACAAAAAAACACTGCAGACAGTCGCAGTGTTCTGCCATCCTCCTCAGCTTTTCCACAATATGTTCCCGGTACCGACAGCCATACAGTTGATGACCTACAGCCCTGCATATATGAGAAATGATTAAGAAAGTTTAAACTTAAGCTTTGTACTCTAATACTTCCTATTCTTGTCTGTACACACAGTTGAATGGTTCAGAATCTGTACTCAGTATTTTGTTCTCATAGAAAAATAAATTGTGATGTTGGAAGCATATACAAAATAAGGATACAGCATAACACAGAAGTACTGCTTATTTAATAATTTTTTAAAGTCACAAATGGGAAGGAAGGGAACTATTTTTCCCTCAACCCGTTACTATCAATGGAAGTTAGACACCCACATTAAGGGGAAAAATCCAGTTCAGTATTTAGTAAAATGAAAACTGACAGACAGTTTTTATTATAGGAGCTCTGAATACTGGAGCTCGTAGTTACAACAATTACTGAAGGTAAAACCAAGGTTTTTTCCAGTACCACTCTACCTATAATGACCGATATACTAATGTGTTAAGAGACTCAATATTATGGGATTCTCAACTGCTGCATTGCTCCCTACTTTGGGATATTGCTTAGGGCCTGTCTACATTACCCGCTGGACGGATGGGCAACGATCAATCCAGCAGGGGTCGACTTATTGCATCTACTCTAGATAAATCAACCGCTGAGTGCTCTCCCGTCGACTCCAGTACTCTACCAGAGCGAGAGGCGTAGGCAGAATCGAAGGGGGAGCATCAGCCATCGACTTACTGCAGTAAGTAGATCTAAGTACGTCGACTTCAGCTACGTTATTCACATAGCTGAATTTGCGTAACTTAGATCAACCCCCTCCTCCCCCGCCAATGTAGACCAGGCCTTAGAACTCTTTAGTGAGCTGAGTATTGTGCTAACGCCTCAGAGAAAAATTGGAAATTTGTTCAGTTATCTACTTTATTCTGAGTTTCTCCTCCCTTTTTTGTGACTTGGCTGTCTATGCAAAAAGTCAGGATCTGTGTTGCCAGAAGTCAGAAATTCATCTGCTTCCGTTATTCACTCCTCACTCGGTCTCCAAGCAAGTTGCACAAATGTCCCAAACAAGATTATGACCTCCAGTGAAAAATGAGCCGCTGGAGCAGGAGAATGCCTAAGACAAACAATCCTTTCTTCATGCAAGTAGGCCATGTAACAAAAAACAGTGAGGGAAGAGAAACACAGAAGAAATGATATATCAGCAGAATGATTCATAAATAAAGTGCTTTTCAAAGTTCTCCTCAAGGTGACAGCAATTCTAAGATTTACTGTTAATGTGGCACAGTTCCCCCCGGTGCAATAGAATCCTCTTGAAAGACATTGCTATCATTTCCCTTTTCAACTGCCATCTATTAGTAGCTAAAATTGCTTTGCGAAGAAGAGTTTATTCTCACCAGTTGTTCCCTGAACCAGAAACATCTGTGATGAGCTGCTTGCTATCAAACACATCTCTCAATGGCCCCTGCAGAATTTCATTCACTACACCCTCCTCCATGTCAATCAAGAGAGCCTTAGAGAAAGAAAATTTTTAGTTCAGTCAGTATGCCACTCTTTGAAATAGTTACACAAAAGGGATGCAAGTACTTGCAAGATAAAAGGTTTCTTGTTCCTTTAAAGTTTCAGGCAGAAAGATCTTATTTTAAAAGATACACTATGACTGAGAAGCCGACTCTAGAAAAATTCACCTTGATCTCCTTGTCAGAAGACAAAATTTAATGAAGCATTATTTCAGTTATTTCAACTTTTGTTTATGCTGTTCAAAACTTCAAGGGTTAAATGCATAACATGCTGAATACTTAGTAACAAAAAAAAAAATTGCCATAGCTTTTCAAAGATGTTTCCTCTTAAAAACTTAGTTAACATAAATGGCTCAAATAAAACCCTTTACTGCCCCCTCCAAACAAACACCATCTATTCATGTGATCTACACAATCATTTCCCCAAATTATACATTTTAAATTATTACTGAAGTCTGCCCATGAAGTGGACTCTAATACTGTTACACTAATCTGGGGAACTAAGAAATTTCAGTTTCAGTTTGAGAAACATGTCTAAAATTGTGCATTTAAGACAAAAGGTAAATATAGGAAGTTTAAACCGTGAGCTCTTTACAGTCATAAGTATGCAATGTATACATCTATAAAGATAATTTTGGTCTTACTCGTGCTTTTAAAGAGAAGATTTTTCCTTTGTGAATATCAGCACCATCACCACCATTTCTGGAAAAGGGAGAAATGTTTTATAAGATCAAAACCATTATGGAAGTGATACAGTATTATTAAAATTCTCTTTCCTTCTCATTGATCTCTGCTGTCCATAGAGGTTTGGCTCAATGCAAAACTATACCACTCCCCCTCACACACAAACACATTCCACAAGCAAAGTCTTAACGGAAATTCCCTAAAATAAAATCTTCACAGGATCCCATCCCACTGATGATATCTTAATATCAACTTCACGTGACGTTAAGATGGTCAGCATGAAATATTTACCATCAGGAACATCCCCCTACTCGTAGCTGCCGAAGTAGCTGGCTCTGGGAGAGGAGTATAGTATACAGTGGTTAGACAGAGGACAACTAGACTGGTTTAATCACTCTGAAATGCAGTATGGTGCCGTGTGTAATATCTGGGCCTGTCAAAAGAAAAACCTGGGTCCTGTGCCTGCAGTGACCTTGCATAAGCTCTCAGCTAACTTATTTTTAAAAAACAAAAAAAAAGAGTAGGGGAGTGTTCAGCAGCTCTTCACTATCTTCTAGGTTATGTTTCATAACCTAGTTAATTATAAAGGTAATGAATTGTTCGGGAATTTAAACAGCACTCAGAGGTTAGATTTGAGCTCCTACTCTCCTTTTTTTCCAGTTCAGGAACTTCCCCCTAGGCTACAGGGCACAGTCAAGTAACTATGATGTGATTGGAATAACAGAGACTTGGTGGGGTAAGTCACATGTCTGGAGTACTGTCATGGATGGGTATAAACTGTTCAGGAAGGAGAGGCCGGGGAGAAAAGGTGAAGAAGTTGCACTGCATGTAAGAGAACAGTATGATTGCTAAGAGCTCCAGGATGAAACTGGAGAAAAGCCTGTTAAGAGTCTTTGGGTTAAGTTTCGAGGCAAGAGTAACAATGGTGGTGTTGTGGTGGGCGTCTGCTATATTCCACCAGACCAGAAGGATGAGGTAGACGAGACTTTCTTCGGACAACTCACAGAAGTTTCCAGAACACAGGCCCTGGTTCTTATGGGGGACTTCAATCAACCTGACATCAGCTGGGAGAGCAATACAGCGGTGCACAGACCATCCAGGAAGTTTTTTGAGAGTGTTGGGGACAACTTCCTGGTGCAAGTGCTGGAGGAACCAACTAGGGGCTGTACTTCTCCTGACTTGCTGCTCAAACAGGGAAGAACTGGTAGGGGAAGTAGAAATGGGTGGCATCCTGGGCAGCAGTGACCATGAGATGGTCAAGTTCAGGATCCTGACAAAAGGAAGAAAAGAGAGCAACAGAACTCGGACGCTGGACTTCAGAAAAGAAGACTTTGATTCTCTCAGGGAACTGATGGGCAGGATCCCCTAGGGGCATAAGATGAGGGGGAAAGGAGTCCAGGAGAGTTGGCTGCATTTTAAAGCAGCCTTATTGAGGACACAGGAACAAATCATCCCGCTGTGCAGAAAATAGCAAATATGGCAGGTGACCAGCTTGGCTTAACAGAGAAATCTTTGGTGAGCTTAAACACAAAAAGGAAACTTACAAGAAGTGGAAGCTTGGACAGATGAGTAGGGAGGAGTATAAAAATATTGTTTGAGCATGCAGGGATATAATCAAGAAGGCCAAAGCACAACTGGAGTTGCAGGTAGCACGGGATGTGTCGGGTAACAAGAAGGGTTTCTACAGGTATGTTAGCAAGAAGGTTGTCAGGGAAAGTGTGGGACCCTTACTGAATCAGGAAGGCAACCTAGTGACAGATGATGTGGAAAAAGCTGAAGTACTCAATGCTTTTTTTGCCTTGGTCTTCCCAGACAACATCAGCTCCCAGATTGCTGCATTGGGCAGCGCAGTATGGGGAGGAGGTGAGCAGCCCTCAGTGGTGAAAGAACAGGTTAAGGACTATTTAGAAAAGCTGGACAAGCACAAATCCATGGGGCTGGATGCATCCGAGGGTGCTAAAGGAGCTGGCTGATGTGATTGCAGAGCCATTGGCCGTTATCTTTGAAAACTCGCAGTGATCGGGGGAAGTCCCAAACAACTGGAAAAAGTGCCCATCTTTAAAAAAGGGAAGAAGGAGAATCTGGAGAACTACAGACCAGTCAGCCTCACCTCAGTCCCTGAAAAAATCATGGAGCAGGTCCTCAAGGAATCCATTCTGAAGAACCTGAAGGACAGAAAGGTGATCAGGGTCAACATGGATTCACCAAGGGCAAGTCATGCCTGACCAACCTGATTGCCTTCTATGATGAGATGACTGGCTCAGGATATGGGGAAAGCAGTGGACCTGATATATCTTGACTTTTTCAAAGCTTTTGATAAAGTCTCCCAAAGTAATTCTTGCCAGCAAGTTAAAGTAGTATGGATTGGATGAATGGACTATAAAATGGATAGAAAGCTGGCTAGATCATCTGGCTCAACAGGTAGTGATCAACGCTCAACGTCTAGTTGGCAGCTGGTATCAAGCGGAGTGCCCCAGGGGTTGGTCCTGGGGCTGGATTTGTTCATCATCTTTATTAATTATCTGGATGATGGAATGGATTGCACCCTCAGCAAGTCTGCGGATGACATTAAGAATGTGGGGTGGGGGGGGGGGGGAAGAGGTAAATACGCTGGAAGGTAGGGATAGGGTCCAGAGTGACATAGACAAATTGGAGGATTGGGCCAAAAGAAATCTGATGAGGTGCAACAAGGACAAGTGCAGAGTGACAAGTGACGGAAGAATCCCATGCCCTGCTACAGGCTGGGGACCTACTGGCTAAGCAGCAGTTCTGCAGCAAAGACCTGGGGATTATCGGGGACGAGAAGCAGGATATGAGTCAACAGTGTGCCCTTGTTGCCAAGAAGGCTAATAGCATATTGGGCTGCATTACTAGAAGCACTGCCAGCAGATCGAGGGAAGTGATTATTCCCCTCTATTTGGCACTGATGAGGCCACATCTGGAGCATTGCGTCCAGTTTTGGGTCCCCCACTACAGAAAGGATGTGGGCAAATTGGAGAGAGTCCAGCAGAGGGCAACTAAAATGATTAGGGGGCTGGGGCACATGATGTATGAGGAGAGGCTGAGGGAACTGGGCTGTTCTCAGTGGTGGCAGATGACAGAAGCAGCAGCAATGGCATCAAGTTGTAGTAGGGGAGGTCTAGGTTGGATATTAGGAAAGACTATTTCACTAGGAGGGTGGTGAGGCACTGGAATGGGTTACCTAGGGAGGTGGTGGAATCTATAGCCTTAGAGGTTTTTAAGGCCCAGCTTGACAAAGCTCTTGCTGGGATGCTTTAGTTGGGGTTGGTCCTGCTTTGAGCAGGGGGCTGGACTACATGACCTCCTGAGGTCTCTTCCAACCCTCATCTATGATTTGATGAGGTACACACTCTCTCCCTTCCCCACCCTCCCTGAGTGGGCGATGGCATTTGTGCTGCAGCAGATTTGTCATCAAACTAAAATCTGGTGGGTTCACCTTGACATCCATTTTCTGTTACGGCAAAAAAAGTTATAAAGCAGTCTATGGACAAACATACTGATGTATAACTGGTATTCAAGGAATCAGCATACGAGGAGCAGCAATGTGGCCAAAGCAGCATGTTTTTCCTTTATGCTCTTTTTGCAAGAAATCTAAGTGAGTCAATCCAAAATTCAAATAATACTCTAAATTTATTGTCTGTATTTTGGTTTTTGCCATTTCAATGAAGTCTTTACAAAATAAAGGTTTAAAGCCACTGTTATAATTGAACTTTGCCACACAACCTTAACTATCTTGCAGCTACTGATCCACCATCGTATTAGATAGAAAGCTGCTTAATAGTTTTACAGCTAAATACCATGCATGGGAAGCAGCACAACTGTTTTATTCCTTTAATTAAATTACAGAGCATGTGGCGTAGATGCACATGTGTAAGCAGGGAGGAGTAGAAGGGGCGCCGGTATGGTGGGATAGGTGGGTTTGTTTTTCTCTCTAGCTATGGGTTCTCGTGCTCATGCTAGAAAAGGTTAGGTAAATTTTTCAAGGCCTGCATAGTTTGTGCTTCTTAAATGAATTCCTCTTGCAAGATCCGCAATCAACACTAAAAATCATAATTATAAAGCCTGACATTTGAATATGACTGAGCGGTTGAAGCAGAATACATTTTATTTTAAAGGAAAATTAATGTGCAGTTATTAACTGACTGCTTTTTTTTGGCAGGAGGGAGAAGGGTGAAGGAGGAGGAGAATACTTTCATAGACTTAGAATAGCAAAGGTCTATATCAAAGAGGAGGAGGAGGATAGGCACAATGTATGAAAGTACAAGACGTTAGGATCTCTTTCTAGCACAATTAGTAGTTTGACCTGAAACACAGATAAAACTGTAGTTTATTATGGACAATAGCAGATCGGGATTGCTGACCTACTGAAATCAATTACTGTGATAAATTTCAAATTGCTCTCTTGATACAGCAAAGCTTACCTGGTATCCACATTTCTAAAGAAGCTGCTTAATGCTTCATCATAAATTCCTTTCTGAAAAACAGAAACGTTGCACGAGTTAAGTTTTAAGTGTGCAATTTTAGAGATTCTCTGCTATTTCTGGCTAACACTATACAACAGTATTTAGTTAAAAATATACATTGAATTTGAAATTATTAAAGTAAACCATTCATTCAATAAGAAACATTTTATTCAACATAAGATTTAACAAATCACAACCAATATTATATTTTCTTTACTTTGTGTTTTTGAAGATGAAAAAAATACATTAATTAGCAATAGAACGAGCTTAGCTAACTGCTTTACATGTATTTGTTATGGTATTATAGCTGATCCATATCTTCAGTATAGCTGCCCACTAAACAGCTGAAAATGAAAGCTGTGTTGCTGAATACAATACTAGAAACATAGTATTTGCCATAACGAATCAGAGGAGTATTCCATCTAGTCCCATGTCTTGTCACAACTGAGGCCAGTACTAGCTGCTTTGAAGCAAGGTAGCCAAAAGGACTGTCCACCACTATCTTTATTAACACATTGACATTTTCTTTAAATCATGTCTATATATTCCTTGTAAATTGGACACATTTCCATTCAGGGGTCCTCGGCATGCTAATTACTCTGTCCCTGTGCTGAACATAGAAATGGAGAAGGGACCAACGGTGACTTTAGTGAACCTTTATACTCCTTGTATTTTGGACCCTGCCGGGGGCCTACTTGGATAAGTTAGAGAAACCCCAGGGTTGCTCTGATATACACTCTATTTGCTGTTGACCATGACAAGTAGAGAACAGTTGGACCACAGCAGTGTTCCAAATACACACACTACACAGGGATGTGGAAGGGGAGTGGTGTAGAGATGTTCCACTGATTCTATGTCAATTGGGCAAGCCCCCTGAAGGGGTGGGATTCCCAGGGTCTGTCGCTGCCCCTTTAAGCTGAAGCCACATAATTTGCATGTGGGACAATAAGAATTGGGCCCCAAGTGTTCTTTATTGATGTATATACTCAACTTTTTCTAGAAAAATCACTGCTGTTGCCTTGTGATCACATCTGGACAGCCAAAGAACTAAACATTAATTTTTTGTTCAAGGTCTACATGTGTTTTGATAACTAAATCACTTTTTGGAGCAATGCTCAAATACCTTCATAGACTGTACTATTTGTAATGCCAAAAAATCAACAGGCCACCATACTGCAAATCAATATTAGTACAATAGTGAGAAAATATGCACACCCTTTGGCAGTGACTAGATCTGTCAGAGTACCATGGGCTGGAGAGGAGTGTATTTTTGTGTATTTGCATAAGCAGAACTGTAGTAATATAGTTTGCAGGACTTAAAAAGACTTGCACAGGGAGCACATAGGCTTTAGCAGGACTAAAACTGGCAAACACATTCCCTCAGGCGAAGAGAAGGATTGGTCAACCTAGAGATGTTTAAATCACCTCAGAACAAGAGTTGGCAGGTCAAAAGTCAATATGCGGCAGTGGGGTTATTTCAATGACCCAGATACATGTGACTGTAGTGAAATATAAATCATGTCTGTCGGCTCCTGGAGGAGCCATGAACCATGGAAGATCTTGCCAGGGCTACAGACTAGACCTTATGTGCCCAACACTGGAAAAACCCGATTGTGATGGAAGGGTATGGGACATCAGAAGGAGGAGGACAGAGAAGGGAACATAGTAACTACCATACTGGATCAGACCCTAAGTACATCTAGTCCAGTATCCTGTCTGCAACAGCAGCCAGCATCAGATACTTCAGAGGAAAGTGGAAGAAACCCATAGCAGGACAATGTAGGATAATCGGCTGCATCATGAAAGGTTCCTTATGGGAAACAATTACTTAGTACTTGGAAAAGGATAAGCAATACTAACTGCTCAGTCCTAGCTGGAGCTGAAAGTTTGTCAGAAAATCATTCAGACGAAAAATGCCCTTTTCACAAAACTGAATTTGTCTCAATTTACCAGAAAATTTCTGTTTCTTATGAGGAAAAATCAAAGGGGATGGCTCCTGGTTGGGCCTGGAAGGCCCTGTGAAACTGTCAAGAGCCTGCCAGGCCTACCCAGGAGCCATCCTTGGGATTTTTCCTATGAGAAAAAGAAAATTTTTGGTTAATTGAAATTTGCAGAAAGTGAAACTTACAAAGGCTTTGGAGGGCTATGAGGCAGAGCCCTCACCCAGCAGGTGACTGCTGAGCATGTCAGTTTCACTCCGCAGCTGTCTGGGTCCCCGGAGCAGACTTTGTTTCATGCATTGGGGTTTCCCTCCCAAAGAAGGTTTTCTCGGGAGGCGGAGTTCATGGGAAATTTCGAAGCCACTAATTTCCCGGCGAAGTGGGAAGGCGGCGCGCGGGGCGGCTCCAGCGGCGGGGCAGTGGGAGGAACTGCTCGTGCTCACCCCGGTGCGATTTCAGATTCCCAGGGGCTGCGCTGCACCGGTCAGGGAGTCCCCCCGGCGTCCAGCCCAGTAACCCCCAGTCCTCAGGCTGCCCCGGCCCCCGGAGGCGGAGACAGACGCTGGGGAGACACCGCGCGGAGCCGCCACCGAGGGCGGGAACGAACGGGACCTCAGCGCCGACCTTCCACGGGGGCGGCACCGGCTGGGCAGCCGCGCTCAGGGCGGGGGTCCCGGGCTCTGCTCAGAATCAGCGGCCGACGCGGCGCGCGCTCAGGAGCAACCCGGTGGCCGCTCCGCCCCGGGAGCTGACGCTGCGCCGCCCGGCAGCTGGGGCCGCTCCCGGGGGCCGTTACCTTGTTGACGGCGGCGTGTTCCCTCAGCGCCAGGTCCCAGAAGCGACAGCCGATCTGGTTCCCGCACTGGCCCACTGCAAATGGGGAGAGACACGGGTCAGCGGGGCTGGGAGGGGGGGTCAGAGTGGGGGAGGGGGGGTCACACCGGCTTACCCTGCACCACCACCGACTGGGTCATGCTCCCCGCTCCAGGGGCCGTTACTAGGGGCGCGCGGGCACCAACGGCGGCTCCACCTCCTCCAACCGGCGGGGAGCTGGCCCCGCCTACTCCGCACCAGGCTTCCGAAAGCCCCGCCCCTCGCGCGCCCGGCGCCGGGTGGGTGAGGCTCACGCAAGCGTTTCCAATAAGGCCAGGCTCGGCGTGGAAGGTACCATCCGCTCTCCTGTCTCCGCCGCGGGCGAGCGCATGCGCGACACCTCTCCCCGCCCACTGGCTGGGTCCTCTCTCCTCCCGCAGATGGAACGTTCCGTGCTGGAACGCTCCGCGCGGCGGCTGCTGCTACAGGCGGCAAAGGGGTAGGTGGAGCCTGATGTGGTCAAGGGCAGCGCCGGCCCTTGGCTTGCAGCCCTCCTGCCTCCCTAGGGTTGGTTGTTGATATTTGGATGCTCTCTGACCCCTGGTGATGCGCCTCGTCAGGGGCACGTGCCGCCGAATCCAGAAAAAAGGACACTATTGCCAGGCGTCAGAGTGGGGCAGTAGGGGGCATGGTGTGGAGGCGGCATGGCAACCTCTGCAGGATTTGAAGCTTTCCGTAAAAAAAATCAAAACTCAACCACATACCAGTGCTGTACGTTGATTGCTGCCAAAAGTAGGGGTAGGGTTTATAGCCACCTTTCAGCCTTTAGAGAGTAAGTAGCTCTTCAGCGGCTGAGCCCCTAAAATGAAAAATTATGGGCTCAGCCGTTGTCCTGCAAGAACATTGGAATATGCAAATACTCATTCCAAACTTGTTCAATGGTGAGTAACACACCACCAGGTGTCACTATGTGATGATCATACTCCCAGCCCACCAAGGCCTGAATGCGGTATTGGCAACCCCAAAATCATGAGTCAGCCTTAGCCCTCCCTCCCCCAAATAATGAGATTGTTCCCAAAATCATGAGATTTAAAAAAAACCCTGAAAGACTATATTGTGATTTTTGGTCTGTTTTTTAATTTTTTTAAAAATAGCCCTTCACTTTGGACATGCCATGGACTGTGTATGGTCATCAATGTTTAACCATCTAGCAGTCTAGTGCTATGTTTCCATCCTCTATATTAATGCCTGTCAAACTGCTGATGGTGTAGTACTATACGATACTGAGCCTTCTGAACAAAATTTTTTGGATTCCAGGAGTGAATTATTCTGTTGCTGAGATGTACATGATTTGACAGGCCACTGTGTCCTAGCTTCATTTTTTTGTATAGTGAGTATGCTCTTGAATCCGAGAGATATGTTAGATAACAAAAGAAAAATGCAGTTTGTAACTCAGACATGCACCATACTTTCAGAAATTTAGCAAATTTCTTATCACTGTCACTTTTAACTACTTAGACCACATGCTGCTGTAGGGAGATATCTTGGAATTCATAGTAAGCCTGTGATTAGCTTTGCCTCAGGGCTTTGTTCACTTTACAAAGTTGATATTTTATGGGGGTCATTTGCTTTCAGAAGAATTACTACCACACCTTTAACTTCTTTATCTTTTCCTTATCTTTTTCAGGATGTTGTCCACTACCTTGACCTCTTAGGAGGATGCAAGACTGCTCAGTGTCTTCAAACAGTGTCCCTTGGGCACAGAGATGTTAATCACAGATGAACACATATGGTGCCTTCTCTGCTTGCAAATCAAGTAGGCTGTACCGGGGTGTTACATCCCTTGCAGATATTACTCTGAGCACTGAAGTGTCCCAGAAAAACACTTACAAGAATTCCTTCAAAGTTCTCACAATTTCTAGAGAAGCTGGCCAAGACAGCTGAGTTTGCATTAGTACTGGTCCAGGACTGTTCAGGGGCCCAACATGAGAAATATAGAGGGAGTGGGAGGAGTTGATCGGCGGGGCCTCTGGTAGGCAGGAAGCACTGGGGAGGTATGGGGGGAAGCTGACTGTCGGTGGGTGCTACACACCTAATTTTTTTCTGCGGGTGCTCCAGCCCTGGAGCACCTAGGGAGTGAGTGCATATGATTTTGCGCTGGACAATTAAGTGAGTCAAATGGACTCATGATTAAAAGCAATTCCATCATAATTCCAAATGATATGAGAAGGGAAATCCTAAACCTCATCCATGAAGGCCTTGAACAGGCTCACCAATCAGTGTGATGGCTGGGCATCAGCCAGGACATAAAGAATAAAATATTTGCATATGAACATTGCAGAACTAACAGACCAACAAAGCACAGAGCACCTTTAATAACAACACCTGTATCAGACAGACCTTGGAAGAGACTATCTGAAGATTTATGCGAATTCAGAAGACATCATTACCAGGTCACTGTGGACTGTTTTTCCAGGAATACAGAAATAACCTACTTGGAAGATATAAAATGTCACAGTGTCATCGAGAAACTGAAGAACAATTTTGCTCACTTTGGTATTCCAGAACAACTAGTGATGGAGAATGGACCACAATTTACTAAGCAGAATTTAAGTCATTCAGAACAAAAATTAGAGAAGCCATTTACAACACACACTTTGCTTCTCTGCAAAGGAAAAAGGGCACTAAACTATCTAAACCAGTGCTACTCAAAGTGGTGATCCGCGGACCAGTGCCGGTCCGCAAGCCGTCGGCTGCCAGTCTGCGCGCACATTGGAAAAAAAAAATTGCCAGACCCCCACAACAGATAGCTTGAGAAGCACTGGTCTAAACTACTACATGCCACAAGGGGTCACAACAGTGGTTTCCTTAACTCATCCAACAATATTGTTAATCTATCCAGCTATACTTTTAACCTGGAAGAAGAGTCTGTCCTATCTCGGGGCCTCTCCTTCTGCCCCTCCACCCCCACGCACATGATACAGTTCTGTGGTGACCTGGAATCCTACTTTTGATGTCTCCAACTCAAGGAATATTTCCAACACACCTCTGAACAAACAGCACACTAATCCACAGAAACCTTTCTGCCAACACTACAAAAAGAAGGATTCTGTGTGGACTCCTCCTGAAGGTTGAAACAACAGACTGGACTTCTACATAGAGTGCTTCCGCCGACGTGCATGGGCTGAAATTGTGGAAAAGCAGCATCACTTGCCCCATAACCTCAGCCGTGCAGAACACAATGCCATCCACAGCCTCAGGAACAACTCTGACATCATACTCAAAAAGGCTGACAAAGGACTTGATGTTGTCATCATGAATAGTTCGGAATATGAACGAGAGGCTGCTAGGCAGCTCTCCAACACCACTTTATACAGGCCATACCCTCTGATCCCACTGAGGGTTACCAAAAGAAACTACACCATTTGCTCAGTAAACTCCCTGAAAAAGAACAGGAACAAATCTGCAAAGACACGCCCCTAGAATCCCGACCAGGGGTATTCTCTCTGCTACCCAAGATCCATAAACCTGGAAATCCTGGACGCCCCATCATCTCAGGCATTGGCACCCTGACAGCAGGATTGTCTGGCTATGTAGACTCTCTCCTCAGGCCCTTCGCTACCAGCACTCCCAGCTATCTTCGAGACACCACTGACTTCCTGAGGAAACTACAATCCATTGGTGATCTTCGAGAAAACACCATCCTGGCCACTATGGATGTAGAAGCCCTCTACACCAACATTCCACACAAAGATGGACCACAAGCCGTCAGGAACAGTATCTCCGATAATGTCGCGGCAAACCTGGTGGCTGAACTTGGTGATTTTGTCCTCACCCACAACTATTTCACAATTGGGGACAACATATACCTTCAAGTCAGTGGCACTGCTATGGGTACCCACATGGTCCCACAGTATGCCAACATTTTTAAGGCTGACTTAGAACAATGCTTCCTCAGCTCTCGTCCCCTACCGCCCCTACTCTACTTGCGCTACATTGATGACCTCTTCATCATCTGGACCCATGGAAAAGAAGCCCTTGAGGAATTCCACCATGATTTCAACAATTTCCATTCCACCATCAACTTCAGCCTGGACCAGTCCACACAAGAGATCCACTTTGTGGACACTACGGTGCTAATAAGTGATGGTCACATAAACACCACTGTATACCGGAAACCTCCTGACCGCTATAGTTACTTACATGCTTCCAGCTTTCATCGAGACCACATCACACGATCCATTGTCTACAGCCAACCTCTGAGATACAACTGCATTTGCTCCAACCCCTCAGACAAACACCTACAAGATCTCCATCAAGCATTCTTACAACTACAGTACCCACCTGCTGACGTGAAGAAACAGATTGACAGAGCCAGAGGGGTACTCAGAAGTCACCTGCTACAGGACAGGCCCAACAAAGAAAGTAACAGAACGCCGCTAGCCGTCACCTTCAGCCCCCAACTAAAACCTCTCCAGCGCATCATTAAGGATCTACAACCTATCCTGAAAGACGATCCCTCACTCTCACAGATCTTGGGAGACAGGCCAGTCCTCGCTTACAGACAGCCCCCCAACCTGAAGCAAATAGTCACCAGCAACCACACACCACACAACAAAAACACGAACCCAGGAACCTATTTTTGCAACAAAGCCCATTGCCAACTCTGTCGACATATCTATTCAAGGGACACCATCATAGGAACTAATCACATCAGCCACACCATCAGAGCCTCATTCACCACACATCTACCAATGTGATATATGCCATCGTGTGCCAGCAATGCCCCTCTGCCATGTACATTGGCCAAACCGGACAATCTCTATGCAAAAGAATAAATGGACACAAATCAGATGTCAAGAATTATAACATTCAAAAACCAGTTGGAGAACACTTCAACCTCCTTGGTCACTGAATTTCAGACCTAAAAGTGGCAATTCTTCAACAAAAAAACTTCAAAAATAGACTCCAATGAGAAACTGCGGAATTTGAATTAATTTGCAAACTTGACACCATTAAATTAGGCTTGAATAAAGACTGGGAGTGGATGGGTCATTTAAACAAAGTAAAAACTATTTCCCCACGTTAATTTTTTCCCCCTACTGTTACTCACACCTTCTTGTCAAATGGTTGAAATGAGCCATCCTGATTATCACTACAGAAGTTTTTTTTTCTCCTGCTGATAATAGCCCACCTTAATTGATTAGTCTCATTACAGTTGGTATGGCAACACCCATTTTTTCATGTTCTCTGTGTATATATATCTTCCTACTCTATTTTCCGCTGCATGCATCCGATGAAGTGGGTTTT